GCTGTTGTCAGGATGGGACATACAGGCAAAGGTCAGGTCTGTTTCAAAGGACTTCCAACGCTCAGCAGGTTGGTCTCTGGAAAAAAAAAAGAACGTCTACCTTATGCACAACACACTGGACAGTTACGGGATTTTCAACTGTCAGTAAAATGTGTGTACAGGTTTTGCCTCTTGGCGCCCGAAAATCGGGGAAATAAAGGGACCCCCTCAATAGGAGGGTTTCGACACGTTTAGGGGGTCCCTGTATTTTCCGAAACAAGTGGACATGATTCATAAACCCACTTTGGTTATATGAAACCACACGATGTTTCCAGCCGACTGCCAGCCAATTTCTTGGCACCTCCCAGAACTGGTTAAAGACGTCCCTTTCCGGCCCAAAATCCAAAATGCCAAATGCATAAGTGTGAATTACCAAAGTTACGTATTTGTTTCATAGTCTCAAGGGTTGCCATTCCAGAAATACTGTTGAGCAAATGGCTAGCCAGAGGCAGCAACTTCTTACTACAACTACAGAAGAGGCTTGAGCTCGCGAAGTACCCCACCTTCAAGCCTTTCCGTACACAAAACCCCGTCTTAATCCTGGCCCTCTCCACCAGTGGAAAATAACATGTCCGTTTGCTTTCCTCTGGCAGTCCAATGGCCTCCAGGCAGGGACCGGAGAGGACCAGGTCCAGATGTTGCCAGAGGGGGCAGGGAGGCAAAGCACAAGGATTTCCGGGTCCCCTGATTTTGAGACAAATCCAGGGATCAAAATGGGATGCATGTTCCTTTGGGGCCCTTTGCGGAAAAGTAAACGGCAGGATCCAAAATGGCAGGATGCCGAATTGGGAGCCTTATGATTTTGAACAATCCCTTTTATGTGGTGAGTGTACAACCCAAGCCTTTGTGGGGTGGTTTGGGGTCATGGCAACCTAGGCCAAACTGGGTCCCCATGTCTGGGGAACCCAACAACAATTCGGTCAAAACCACCGTTTCCACGAACTTGTGCGGTTCCACGCTGTATGTTGCCAACCCCTGGAACGGTTCGGCCAACCGCTTGCTAAAAACATGTTGCGTAAACCAGCTCATCTTGGTTTCTCTTCAAAGGGCAGCAGGTCCTTTCTTTCACCGACTTTTGCCCAACCAGGGTACCAACTCAAAAATCATCAGAGTGTGGGGTGTCCAGTTCGAAGAACCCATTTCTTGGTTTGCCACCCTTTAAACCCACCCAATCAAAGACTATGTTAATTATCATTTTCCCTTTGAAACCACAGAAAAGGGCTATTGACTCAACTTGGTGTTGGCTTTCGTTCAAACCCAATTTGGACCCCCTCTAAAAATTCAAAAAACGACCCAAAAAAAGTACGGCGCATCCCGCGCCGAATCGCGCCGCAGCGCGAAGCGCCTCGCAGGCGCCATGGAAATCTCCGGCGGCGACCAAGTCGGAGGCCTGGGCCACTGCGGCGGTGACCTCAGCCGAACTGAGGCGTCGATCCGTGGCCCAGAAAATCTAATGCGACGGGTACTGAAGGGGCCTGAAGGATTGGTGCTATAAGACTTTAAGTATTGAGATCCTTGGAGCGTACAATACAGCGGGTGCAAGAGCCATGAATCATTGGACTGGGGTTGGGGGGCACTTTGAAACCGAATTCACAGGAGTATATGACTAGTACTAGCCTGCATCTGCCATGGTCAAAGCTGCTTGTGTGGGTCATGGCTTCCTTAATAGGAAGCCTCGTACCTTAACAAATCTAACTCGTCCATGACCTCTCCTACCAAATAAGAATGTCCTTTAACCATGGCACATATCTCGGCCATTTGGGATGCCCGAAGCATATGCTTTCTTAGATTCAGTTTCATATTTAGTGCACCCTAAACGTGAAACTCGTTTTGCAAGAGATGCCATAATGTAGGATGCCAGATTGGCCAACCTTAGGCCTTAAGATGATGAAGAAACCCAGCAAAACAATCATACCGCGACCCCTTTCCGACCCCAAGAAGCTTTCGGAAATACCAAGCCGGCCCGCAAAGGAATCCCAAACCCAACCCTTACCCGAAGAAGCTTAAGGAGCCCCCTCCGCCCCCCAAGGCCTCGTTCACCGTCTTGTAGAGGCCTTTCATGCTCTCCACCACCATGGACTTCTGCTTCTTCAGCACGTCCATGTTCCGGTGCAAGGCCGTCACCACAGTGTCCACCTGCAAAAAAAGGGATTTGGGTGCCTCTTTTTTCAGGGTGCCCTTTTCACCTGGGTCTAACAGGAAAGTAAAATAACAGCCACGATTTTCGGGGAATTCATTTCCTGACACATACCCAGTTCGTACTGGACAAAGCCCTGCGATCCCTGGTGCGAAGCTGGATTTTGTCCTGGCTTCCTGAAAGGCAAGGCTGGAAGTTGCGTGCTGGTTTGACAGGCAGGGAATGAGTTGGAATGACCCTGAAGGGAATCCGCCCCGTACAGTTTCTCATCTTGAAAAAAACGGCGGGGGCTGAGGGGAGGGGGGGGAGTTGTGTCGTTGAGGCAAGTCAAAGAAGCTAAGCTGGGTGAGCTATATGAATATGGGTGTCACTTTTCTGCGTACTATTTTCAGGTTGGTTTAAAGGGAAACCAAAAGGAAGCCCAAAATCCATATTTGGGGCATACAACAGACGCACTCCTGTTAGGTTGATCAGCTGAAATAGGGAGAAACGCCCTTCAGAAAGAAGCCTTCATCGGGCCGAGATTGCAATCCCCTGGTAGGTGAGGTCGCTACCCCCAGTAGGTGGGGTTGCGATGACAAGTGATTCCTATGTTCACCACATGTCCTGTCACGTGCGTTTCAACTGAGCATGTGTGCCATGGTCAAGACCCCCTTATGGGTCATGGTCATGGCCTCTCTAAAACAACCTCTACATGGGTGGTGTAAAATCCGCATTTAGAGATTGATTGTTATCCCTACCAACCCAAGTGAAGGAGTGATGCCACGTTGCGCTGGCTTTTTGTGTGACCGCAACTGAATATAAGACATCTCACTGTTCGAGGCTGGAAGCCCGGAGGCATCTCAGTCTTCGTGGGGTTGTGTTGAGACCCCAAAGGCCACCCAATTTCATTGCTCAATCAGGCCCAAACGAGGCACAACACACGAATTACCATGATTCATCCACGCCAAAAAGGGCTTAAGAACTTTCATAAGCCCATCTGTTGCGAACCTGAAGGGCGAGGTCGCTCGAATTCTGTCCCAAGCGCAAATAGATAAGGGGGAGGGGTCCTCAAAATAGGGGTCCATGTTCCAAATCCCATTTTGAGAAACTCCGTTAGAGTCTTGGGGCCCGGTCGGAATTTTGAGACACAGATCTGTCTGCCATTTGCCAGCTGTTGTCGGGTCCCTGAGTCCAAAAAGCTAAGATTCCCAAGCCTCTCGGGTTGGGTTTTTGCCCAGTTTGTCGAGTAAGCTGAAGGTTCCCACTCCACTGGGCTTTCTAAACAGACCAGGAGGTGACCCAAAACCAAGAGGCTTCTGGCACCAAGTGTTGGACCTTGAGGCCCGTCTGGGTGGTTGCGACCAAGCTTCTCTTTTTCCAGATATTGGTTTGAATCCAAAATGAATCAATCCAGGGAGTATTTGTAGCGGAACCTCCCCCGGAGCCTTCCGGGAACCATCCAAAAACCCGCCCCGACGCAGGATCAACCAAGGCCCGATAGCTCTGTTCTCATTGAAGAACAAGAGAAACCACTTTGTAATCGGGTGACCCTAAATACAAACTTCTAACACATGCAACTTGTCTCCTCAAGCTGAGGCTTTTGAGTTGAACTTCGGCTGGAGAGCTTCCCCTCCTTTCTCACACCGGCGGGGAACCCGTTCCAAGCCCCAAGCCGCGGCTGTTTCTTCCGGAGCTTTCGGCGCCGCAGGCCTCTCGGCTCTTGGACACGAAGCTCTGGTTGCCCTCGGAGCTGAGGACCAAGGCCTCGAGTGACTCAAATGTCCCCAGGCGCTCAAGTTCTAGGGGTTGTTTCCCCATTCTTTTCAACCATCGTTCTTTTTTGAAAACCAGATCCGTTTTCTCCGGGTTTCCGGAGGTTGTCTAGAAAGAAGGATCCCTGGAAAGAATGGGGAAGGTACTCCTAGACAAATGTTCCTTACATCACCCGAAAGGACGCTCAAGTTAAGTCGGCCCCATCTTAAAAAAAAAAGGAAAGAAAGAAAACAAAGCAAGAAATATAGGGAACCTTGTTGGGCATGTTCAGGCTTGTAGGTGTGCCCCCCACCCCAAAAAGAGGTTTCCCCCCCCAGTTCCCAAACAAAGGAACCAGCAGAACTTGTTCAGGGTGCCTCGGAGGGAGGAGGTGGGTGGAACATGGCAACTTGGGGAGACTTGCAGGTTGGATTGAAGGAAAACAAAAAGGGAAAACCTGCATTTTGGGGGTTTTCCTCTCTCCTTTTTTGGTTTTGGGGGGTGGCAGAGATGCCCTTTTCTCCAGTTCTGTTTACATTGCAAATCCTATAGGGGACCATCCAAATACCCCAGTCGTATAGTCCGTTGCTCGCGCGTTCCTTTTGGTGGACATCATTTACATCCGGATTTGCGTACCCGTCAATCTATGTTTGAAGCCAACTACTGCAATTTATGGCCATATGAGCCCTCCCCCCCCCCCGTCAAGTTCCTCGAAAAGCGACCTCGTCAAGTCCTAAAGGGCGCCCTCAAAAAAAACAAGCCCAACAGGAGTAAAGGGCAGCTTTTGCGCCAAGCAAACCATGATCTTTGGCCTCCTTTCGGCGTACCTTTGAGGGTGGATTTCAACATATATGTGACATAATCGCTATTAAAGGGTTGATCATTTGACCATGGCACACGTTTAGATTTGTCTCATCCTTGGTTCTGCCTGTTGGCTTCCCAAAAACCGTACCGTTGCTCCAAGAAAAGGGCTATATACCCGCAACAAAGTTACTCCAGCGAAACTGTTTTGAGGTGAGCAGCGCGCAAAGTTCGCCCCCAACTTTCCTTGTTCTTTGCAGCCACCAAAAAAGAACCAAAAGACCAAGACTAAAAAACTACTGAAAAGGAAAATGGGACGAAAAGAAGCAAGAGAAAAAAAAGAAACCCCAAAAACACGCCAAGAACAGCGAAGCCAACCCCAAAAAAAGCGCTGTCACGCGCGCATCGTTCGCGCCTGAAGCTGCTGGGCGCATTGCTCCCTTTCCGCCGCCAGTTCCTCCTCCCTCTCCTCGCGCTTGCGGAGAAAAGTTCCAACAACACGGCGGGTTCCCTGTAGTGAGTAACAACTCGTGGGGGGGTCCTCGGTATCACAGAGTTTGATCCTAAACCTATGCAATCCGCCCAGTGACTAACGGCTCCCTCAAGAAGAATGCCGTGTTGGGTGTTTTGGAAAACCCTAGCTCACTAGGAACTCACTAGGATGTTCACACTGTTTTGAGGGAGTGGCTTACCCCAGTACAGGATTCCCTTGGGCTTCTGGTTCCCTATAGTTCCCTATCCGTTTCCATTCTGGTCAGGGTCTCTGCAATTCACAATTTCAAACAACCCTGCAGGCATGCACGCGTCTGCACTTCCCGGACGCCATCAACCACCAGCACCCTTCAACCACTATTTATGGACAGCACGTGGGGGGTTTTGGACATGGAAAAAGCAGTCGTTGAGCCGGCAGGCAGGCGGTTTATTGGCTCACTTTCTGAGTGGCTCGGAAGTCCTTGCACTTTGCAACTTGCCGCTAAAACGGTCTTCCCACAAATATTTTAGTGAACCTCCAGATGTAAAAAAATAGACAAAAGTTCAAGAGTCATCCCGCAAGCTAAATAATAGAGAGTCTGGAAAAATGAAACACTTAGTCATCCGCTCAAGGGGAATTACACACAATTTGGCACCCAGCATAGCCAAAATGACTTCCCCCAAAGAGGACATGGGAAGCTTAGTGTGTGTTTGTGTGGGTATTTTGGAGGGTACAACCCCCCCCCCTCCCCGGCTTTTGTGGTTAAAGAAAAAACAAAAGGAACACCACCGTTTTGTGGGTCCCTTAAAACAGACACGCCCTTGAGTGAGTCCCCTGGTTGTTGTGGGCAAGTTTAAGGTTCCGACCCCGAACCTGGAACTTCCAGAACCCATGGCATTCTGTGCCCCGCTGGAAATACAAAGCGATCAGTTTTTGAACCACTTTAAAACCACTTGAAAAAAGACAACTTCCTCGATTCGCCTCGAAATCCCCCACCTCATGTCTCGGGAGCGTCGAGGTGGATCTCTGCACCTCCTCCTGCAAACTCCGAACCTGCCAGGCAAAGGGAAGGATCGACTCGCCGGGATGTGGAAACCCCTCGAAACGGATGGTAATGGGTTTGCAAGCTGGAAATCCACCCCAATGTTTGTTAGGGGGTTAAAGCCATCCAAAAAAGGGTACAAAAAGATACCATCGGCGTTCATCCATCCCAATTGGTGCGTAGGGAAATTCTCCACCGACAGCGGGACATCTTCCACCACATCTCGTGTTGCCAAACATAGAGTGGCTACAACATCATGCGTCCCAAGAAAGGCATGAAAAGGTCCCGCTTGGCGCCGCGTAGAAGTTGTTGGCAGTTAAAACATCTTGGTGCTCGCTGCTTGCATTGAGTGTAGCTCATGCATGGATGAGTCAGGACAGTCCTTTTGGAACTCCACAAGGCTTACAAAAAATGTCCGCTTGAAACGTCTAGGAGTGGCCACATTTAGCCTTGGCGGCATCAGCACGCATCCGTGCTGTCCCGCAGCCCAACGTCTTGAAGCAACTGGCACTGAAGCCAATGCCAGCATCCGCAGAAATACCCTGCAGTAATAAGCTGAAATTCTGTTGCATTCAGCCACTACCAGTTCTGCAAGTTGTTGACATCACCCTGGGCACCGCAGGAGAAGGTGCAGGTCGGCCCTTTCCCCTGGACACCTGGATGTTGCTGGCAGAACTCTCCGATGCCCATCACGTTGACGCAGTCCGATACTTCCAGAGGCTGGGAAAGGTCTGGCTTTTGCACCTTGGGCTCCTCAGTCTCCTCAGGTTGTCGAGTCTCCTCAGGCTGCTCAGGCTGCTCAGGCTCCTCAGGCTGCTCAGGCTCCTCTGCCTCCTGCGCACTGGAGCCTCCACCGATGATCATTTCCCCCGAGTTCTGGAAGTCTTTGATGTGCCCCCTGCTGCTGCAGGAAAAGCTGCAGCTTGGCCCTGTGGCTGCTTTGCCGCGATGCTTCTTGCAAAACTTGTGGATGTCGTGCAAGTTGCTGCAGTCAGACACTTGGAATGGATGTTGAATCGAACCACCGCCAATTGACATGCTTCCGAAGTTCTGCAAGTTGTTGACATCACCCCCGGCGCTGCAGGAGAAGGTGCAGGTCGGCCCTTTCCCCTGGACACCTGGATGTTGCTGGCAGAACTCTCCGATGCCAATCACGTTGACGCAGTCCGATACTTCCAGAGGCTGGGAAAGGTCTGGCTTTTGTGCCTCATGCTCAGGCTCCTCTGCCTCCTGCGCACTGGAACCTCCACCGATGATCATTTCCCCCGAGTTCTGGAAGTCTTTGATGTGACCCCTGCTGCTGCAGGAAAAGCTGCAGCTTGGCCCTGTGGCTGCTTTGCCGCGATGCTTCTTGCAAAACTTGTGGATGGGTCGTGCAAGTTGCTGCAGTCAGACACTTGGAATGGATGTTGAATCAAACCACCGCCAATTGACATGCTTCCGAAGTTCTGCAAGTTGTTGACATCACCCCCGGCGCTGCAGGAGAAGGTGCAGGTCGGCCCTTTTGCCTGGACACCTGGATGTTGCTGGCAGAACTCTCCGATGCCCATCACATTGACGCAGTCCGATACTTCCAGAGGCTGGGAAAGGTCTGGCTTTTGTGCCTCTTGCTCAGGCTCATCTGCCTCCTGCGCAGTGGAGCCTCCACCGATGATCATTTCCCCCGAGTTCTGGAAGTCTTTGATGTGCCCCCTGCTGCTGCAGGAAAAGCTGCAGCTTGGCCCTGTGGCTGCTTTGCCGCGATGCTTCTTGCAAAACTTGTGGATGTCGTGCAAGTTGCTGCAGTCAGACACTTGGAATGGATGTTGAATCAAACCACCGCCAATTGACATGCTTCCGAAGTTCTGCAAGTTGTTGACATCACCCCCGGCGCTGCACGAGAAGGTGCAGGTCGGCCCTTTCCCCTGGACACCTGGATGTTGCTGGCAGAACTCTCCGATGCCCATCACGTTGACGCAGTCCGATACTTCCAGAGGCTGGGAAAGGTCTGGCTTTTGTGCCTCATGCTCAGGCTCCTCTGCCTCCTGCGCACTGGAACCTCCACCGATGATCATTTCCCCCGAGTTCTGGAAGTCTTTGATGTGGCCCCTGCTGCTGCAGGAAAAGCTGCAGCTTGGCCCTGTGGCTGCTTTGCCGCGATGCTTCTTGCAAAACTTGTGGATGTCGTGGAAGTTGCTGCAGTCAGACACTTGGAATGGATGTTGAATCAAACCACCGCCAATTGACATGCTTCCGAAGTTCTGCAAGTTGTTGACATCACCCCCGGCGCTGCAGGAGAAGGTGCAGGTCGGCCCTTTTGCCTGGACACCTGGATGTTGCTGGCAGAACTCTCCGATGCCCATCACATTGGCGCAGTCCGATACTTCCAGAGGCTGGGAAAGGTCTGGCTTTTGCACCTTGGGCTCAGGCTCATCTGCCTCCTGCGCACTGGAGCCTCCACCGATGATCATTTCCCCCGAGTTCTGGAAGTCTTTGATGTGGCCCCTGCTGCTGCAGGAGAAGCTGCAGCTTGGCCCTGTGGCCGCCTTGCCGCGATGCTTCTTGCAGAACTTGCCAATGCCATGGAGGTCGCTGCAGTCCGAGACTTGGAGTGTGCCCGCCTGCCCCGAGTGTGGCCAATGCTTGACCATGTCTTTGTGCTGCATCATGCATGATTCATCCCCGAGGGCCAGCACTGCCACCATGTACAGGTGGAAAAGCATGGTGCACTCGGCGGGGAGCTAGAATCAAAACAAAGCAGGCTTGACACGCTCGAAAGGCCACAGGCAATCAGGCGATCCATACCCAGTGTTCGTTGCAAGCTGGACCTTTGTCACATGAATGATACGGAGCTGTCATCATATCCCTCAAACTAACATAACATGCGCGGGTCTTGAGATGTGGCAGTTTCACAGGTTCGGGTTTTATTTACTCAAATCAAGGTGAAACGGGTAGCCCAAAAATCACACCACACGGACCCACAAAGGTCAGTGAAGCCTCGGAGAAAACCCTTCTCTGCGCCTGGCTATGCAGCTGCTGAATGATTTCCCGCTGCTTCACGATCAGGGACTGCTCCTGTTCCGCAGCCACGGGGGAGCTGCTGCTCAACAGAAACCCGTCACTTGTTGTCCTTCACGTGCCGACGTGCTGCCAGGGGATCCAAATTCTGTGGTGGACTAATGAAGACGAGCCGGATACTGGGCACTAGAAGTTAAGCGGAGTAGGCCACAACAAAGCCTCACAGCTCAAATTTGGTAGAGTTGCTTCTTCTCGCAGGGCTGTTTTTTCCTAGAGCTGGTCACCAGCCTCACTTGGCCCGGGGGTTTCTTATTGGCCCAAACCACCAAAACTCGCCCACAACTCACGCAACAACATTCCTAAAGCAACCCTACAGGCACCGTTTTTCCGGCAGCACACCCAACACAAATCAGCTCCAAGCCAACCCCAAATCAACCCAATGTCAACCCTAAACGCGCCCAACAGCAGCCTGTATGTCAGCCCTAAACCAACCAACCAAACAAACCAACCATCCAACCAACCAACCAACCAATCAATCAACCAACCAACCAACCAACCAACCCAGCCCTCGAAATCTCCGGCGGCGACCAAGTCGGAGGCCTGGGCCACCGCGGCGGTGACCTCAGCCGAACTGAGGCGTCGATCCGTGGCCCAGAAAATCTAATGCGACGGGTACTGAAGGGGCCTGAAGGATTGGTGCTATAAGACTTTAAGTATTGAGATCCTTCGAGCGTACAATTCACAGGAGTATATGACTAGTACTAGCCTGCATCTGCCATGGTCATGGCTTCCTTAATAGGAAGCCTCGTACCTTAAAAAATCTAACTCGTCCATGACCTCTCCTACCAAATTCGAATGTCCTTTAACCATGTGACATATCTCGGCCATTTGGGATGCCCGAAACATATGCTTTCTTCGATTCAGTTTCATATTTAGTACTCAACAGGGAAAGAAACACAGCGAACCAGAAACCGGGACCCTTATTAACCCCAGTCCGGTAGGCGAGCGCAAACCCTGGTTTTGATCTGGGCATCTTGAGCCAAATGGGCATTGCCATTTGACAAATCCATGCAAAGCAAAGGGGCCTCCAACATCACATACATGCACACCCTTCTGGGGTACCTCTTTGGGGGTCAAGGGGTCGTGATTATTCAACTCCCCCCTCCCCGTGCTCACTAAGAGACTTGTATTTTACAGTCGCGCTAGAGCTGCGACCTATGTGATGCAAGGTCCTTTACCAGACCATAAGGAGGGCTTACCTATGATTTTGCACTTTTGTTACTGCTTGGTCATCTCAGGCCGGACATCTTTCAACTTTTCGGGCAAATTGGTCCTGATACCCAAAAGCTTTAGAGCGTGGTCCCACTTCAAGGGCTGCAGTGCTTTTGTAGAGATGTCGGCTGCCTGAAGATCAGTAGCTACGTACTTGATCACTACGCCCGTGCCGGGTTCAAGTTGCTCAGCAAGTGCGGACAAGTTCACTTTATGAGTGCGCTATATGTGCCGCATTTTTGGGGAGTAACCTTTCTTGGCAACGAGGATAGTGGCTTGGTTATCTTCGTGCAGCACCAGCTCAACCGGGCGTCCAAGCAAACGTTCCGACAAGGTCAAGGAGGGAAGGCCCTCTTGATACAAGGAGAATGTGAGCGAAACGACTTCAGCTTCGGTGGTGGATCTCGACACTGATGTCTGTCGTTTACTCAACCACGCTAAAGGAAAATGGGTGTTCGGACCTTTGAGGACCAAGAAGCCACCGGACGTGGACTTCGCATCCCTTTCTCCAGCATAGTCGGCATCCGCATACAGAGCGAGGTGAAGATCTTGCGGGTTGTCTTTTATGACTCCTACCAACCGATAGTGCGTAGTCGAGTGGATGTACGCGATAAGACGAGCGAGTTGCCTATCGTGGTTGCGAGACCACTTCTGCACGGCGGTTGCTAGGTCACCTATGGGCTTGATGATCTCAGGACGCGCTAGTCGTCCCAGCCATAAGGCCTTCATGAGGAGTTTGCACGCGTTTGGGGCTAGCTCACCAGCTGACTGATCATCTTCAGGAGGAAGTGATCCATCTGGACAGAACGGAGCAGTTACCTTCCGGAGCTTCTCGGGCTGAGTGCCGGTTATAGAACAAAACAGTTCTACAGTTTGACGGGCATAGTCATTCATGTCAAAGGCGACGGCACCCTTTAATGCGCTTACAGCTGCATTCAGATCATGCTCTTGAGGCTCTGCGGGGCCATCTATAAAGACATGATTACGCCCGAGCACCCGAAAGATCGGCTCGGGAGGCTCTACATTTATCATTTTGTAAGCTTAGCCCAAAAGGCTTCATGTGCATCTGCGGGACCCGAGAGGGTCAAGTCATCGACGTAAGTCGAGAGCATAAGGCCTACCCCTTCAAAGAAAAAGTTTCCCGGAAACTCCGGGATTTCTTCTCCTCCCAGCTGCCTGAGCAGTTTCTTAAGGTGCGCCTCCCACAGACCTCCTGCGTCAGGGCGACCATATAGGGCACGAATCAACAAGACCACGGGCTTCACGAACTTGGAACCCCATTCCTTTGGCCGCAGCTCAGGCGGGAGTTCGATCCACGTCTGAAACTGTGCGCTAAGGAACGCCTGGACATAGGCTTTCACCGCGTCAGCGGTGGTGACCGTGTGTCCTGGGATACACCCATACGCCAGGCAGGCGTTTAGGCCTTGTACCGAGGTGGGGTTGGCCCCCAGTTCTTGGTACACCGCGGGTGCACCGGCTTCATCTTTTGCACAGTCTCCCCTGAACACGATGCGCCCCTTTACCTTTTGGAGGTGCTTCGCAAGTTCATAGAACTTGATGCTGGCGATCGTCAGGAGCTGACCAAAGTGCACCTTGATCCCAGACTGTCGCGCTTGAGCTGCGGAGTCCGGTCGCCTCCTGCTTGATCGCTTCCAAGCATTTCAGCACGGGACAGGAGTTTAGTGACCATTGCATGCGCTTCTGTTTCGACAGCTTTAGAGGGCATGTCGACAGCATTGGCAAGTAGACTTTGGACATCAAGGAGTTCCTCAACAATCTCTTTTGTTTTGGAGTCTGATTCTACGAGGAGGGTGAAGTCGTCTGCTCCGGAAAGAGGAGATTCGTGCTTCAGGGACTGCCCCTTAACACGATGCTTCGTCTGCTGAGTGACTGGAACAACAGGCATTGCTTGAACCGGAGTCCTACAAACTTTGGGATACAACGCTTTGGCGATCAAACCACACATTTGTTCAGGGTAGAATGCAGTGCGGGAGGTTCGGCTCCCTGCCGCTGGAGTATGTCTTTCGGACTTTGAGTGCGGACACTGGCGATCAGCGAATGCTTCGGCAAGGGCCTTTGATGTAGTTTTGATGTGCCAAGGCTTCTTGATGGGTGAACCATTTTCATCCGTCAAACCAACAGCACAGCCATGAAACGAAACACCAGGGAACACATCCTTGTGGCGTTCGAAAAACTCGGACACATCTGGCCTCTGCCATCCTTCGCAATCACGCGGCCACCCGAAAGTGACTGATCCACCAGCCTCCAAAACATGCTCTGCGTGCAATGCAAACTTTGAAAACATCACTTTGGATTGCTTGACTTTTTCCCCTAACTTTGTCTTAAACGGCTTTCCTAACCTGTGGAGGTTCAGCCTCTGCCAAGGTGATCCTGAGACACATGGAACGGCTGCCCACAAGTTGGGTCGGACGCACTGCGAGAGTTGATACGCGAAACGGTAAACGGAGGGCGTTCATCGCCCCCCTGAAGCTGACAAGGGTTACCGAAAGCAGATGGCTTCTCTTTCGTGGTCTCAGCAAGTGTTGTGCTGGATGCGGTTGACACGGTGACGGCTGCTCCTGAGCTGACTGGGATATTACCCTCGTGAGGACTGAGCCCCCCTGCTGCGCTTAAAGCTGCAGCCGAATGTTCGGAATCACTATATAACCTAAAAATGGTTATGCCAGTCCAGAACACAGGGAGTTCTCGATGTGATGAGAATCTGCCTGCCCAACCATCACTGATATCTTCCTTGCTACCATCTTGCTGGGACACAACGCGAGTGGTCCTACCGGGTGTGATTCTGCACACTGACACAGGACAATCACCGACATCCTTGGGAGTGAAGAGTTTAATCCTCGGCTGATGATGTACGCGGATTAACACGTTACCACTAGGCTTATAAACCCATTCATCCTTCTTGGTTGATGCGGGGACAACGTCGGTATGCGGAACACTGGGCCGAGAAGAGGCTGGCTCCCCAAGCAAGGCACGGACGATATCGGGGTCTCCCTCGCTTCTGGGGGTTCTAGGGAGGACGCCTTTGCAGCGCGTATGGCAGCTGCCTCATCTGCACCCTTACTTGGTTTGGTGGCCTCCTCACTTGCGGCCTTTTTGGCCTTTGCTTCTTCCTTTTCACTTTCAACTAGCTCTGCAAACCTTTTGCGGCATTCGTCAGTGTGATGCCTGGAACTGGCATGGCCGGTGCAGGCCTTGCATCCAGGAGTCTCCTTGAACTTTATGATCCGTTCAATGGTGATGTACACACTTCGTGACTTAAAGCCTGACGGTGTTGACGGGGCAGGGATGCCTTCAGGAATGAAAGGAACATCCCTGATTGCATACTCAGGAGCCTCGCCATCGCCTGTTCGCAGGGCTCGATCGGCAGCGGCCGCGATCGGGAAAACAGGATCGCCTTCCTCGACGAACAACTCAGGTTCGTGCACATCATGGACAGTAACATTACCATTGGTTCTGAAACTTTGGTAATCCATAACTTTTAGCACCCTTCGATATCACATCCCTGGATCATAAACAAGCCTGGGGCCATGTTGGGTTCCAAGGTTCTCTTTCCAGCTGACTTTAGGCGATACCAAACGAGCTGTCCGAAACAACAGCGGACGCCATCGAGCTTCTCCTTGGTGAGTGCTTCCCATTGCGTCTTTGTCGGATCGAACGTGGACGGTCGGTCGAAAGACATCGAGAGGCATGCAAAGGGATAGGAATGCGTGTGCAGAGAGTAGGGCAAACCCGATTGATGGTGTATGCTCCTGCAACACTCCTTCTCCTCTCGGACATCTCGCTCGAGCTCGGAGTTGTGTGGCCAGCGATTCGGCAACGAAGTTTCGGGGATCATCCCTACTTCCTCGGCCGCTCCCTGCAGCTCTCCAGCTTCATCCATTTTTATGAGAAAGTGTGGAGCGAGTTCGTTGGCTCTGAGGCCAATGAAATGCCTGAGATTCCTTGCGTGCGACGGAATGTCTCTCTTAGAGACCGGGTATGCGACCCTTGCGCCGGAAAACACATCCCTGATGACATGGTGGGATTTTATTCCGCCTATGCCGATTCCAACGTGTTCATCGCCTTTCGCCAAGATCACGCTATCAGTAGCGAGCTGCTGGTAGGGAGCGGTGGGTGCGTCGAGAAGATCGTCACTCCGCCCCCCTGGTTTCCGGGCGACACGCATTGAGGTGTTCTTAGCGATGTTGCAAATCTTGCAGAAGGGATTCTTGGGGAAGTGAGTCCGTTGGTGTTCCGGTGAACTGGTTTCGGCCCGAAGCCGAGGTTCATCACGAAGCTCACCACCTTCTGCAAAATCGACAAGTCTGCGCTCGTCATCAGGATGTTCGGGCACCGCTGGTGCGGGCGCAGGAGGTGCTCCAACAGGTGGTGATGCTGGCGGCGGATCCGGGGGCTCGGCCGGAGGCCTTTCCTCCGGAGCTGGCATGGCTGGCTTTTCGTTGCGCGTAAAGCTTGCAACCTTAATCTCTTGGACTACATCATCAATGAGCGCATTGAGCTGCTCCTTTTTTTTCTTCTTCTGGCACTTGGGGAGGTGATGGAAAATCCTGGCATGGATCAATGATGAAGGACTCGTCATCGGACAAGGAAACTGCATCATCCTCGACTTTCACAGGAGAACCAACGACATTGATTGGCCGAAGATTCGCGGCTTGATCAACGATCTGTGGTTTGACTACCTCATCGTACTGTGGTACATACTCAACAACCCTAGAGGCGTTGATCCTAGAACGGCGAGGAACCCGAAGCTTGCACTTACCAATCTCAGAAGGAGGCACAAGATAAGGAACGTTCTCTCTGGGGTCCCAGATGAAGAGGTAACCTCGATCGATGACGGTTTTGCCAATTGATTGAGCGGGCGGACATTCGTTCAAAACGTAAACCTGCTCGTCGGGTGGGATCACACGGGAGTCCTCAAACGCAAGAGATTTATCTCCTTGTTGTGCTCCCCCGCCTGTGGCAAAGCCTACCGGTGTGTTGGTCTTGCGTACGCAATGCATCATGGTGCTGTTCAAAGCCTGCTTACCGATGAGGTGGCGACCTGCAGCGGTGTCCCATAGCCAACTGATGCTATTGTTCCTGGCGGGGACTGCTGGGACTACGGCGGCAACAGCGGCCGGAGATTTCGCCTTACTGAGGGCCCGTGGAGGCGGCCCAGTGTACTTCTCGGTCGGTGAGTGGAGGAAGGCGCCGGACTTAGCCCTACACGCATCATAGGCATAGAACATACACGGAACTTTTGCCTTTTCAACGGCTGACATCTTTGCTGTCTTGGACACAGCCTTCGACCTCGGCGTGAGATTAAAAGGGGTAGTGTCTCCCTTGTTTGCACTTTGGGACTTCGGAGGAGGAGGCTTAGGGTTCGAAGGACTTTTCCCTTTAGGCGCACGAGCAGCTGGGTGCCCTGGATCCCCTTTCTTCTCACCTTTCTTGTTCTTCTTCTTCTCCTTCTTAGTCTCTGCTGGCAAAGCGCTGGTAGCTGCTTCCTTGCCCGTGCCACGAACAGCCGGTTTGAGCTTAACATCCTGATCAAACTCATCACGGTTGCGCTTTTGCTGGGCAAGCTCGATGGCCAGGTCTGCCTTTGCCCAAAGCCATGCACAGGCGCGGCGGTGACTATCATGGGCGGACTCACGGGCCTTCTCAACGCGATGCTTCATTATGGGGCGCTTCTCAAACTCGTCAAGGAGAGGATTGAAAAGAGTTCTTTCCTTGGGGAGCTCATCAAGAGGTATCGCACGGAGATTGTAGTTGTACTTCTCACGGAATGCCTCGATGTCTGCTACTGACTGGCCGGCAAGTTTCAAACCTAGAAGATTGCGTTCTCCAAGGATGCCGATCCGGTCGCGCTCCAGCTGAAAATGCTTGAAGATCGAACGCAACATCACGCGCCCATTGGGCATTGTACCTGCGGTGTTCCGTTCGTGCTCCACCATGTTTTGGAACAACAACCCAAACTTGCCTTTGCGACAGGTTTTCAACAGCTTGGCGGCTATTTCACGGGCTGTGCGTGGGAAACGTTTATCTGCCCTGAGTTGTTCCTCGGATGAGGTCAGGCAATCCTGAGCCCACAGGTAGAGCTCGTCATCGGTCGTCTTTTGCAAACGCCCAATGGCCATGAGGGCTTGATTCACGTATCCACGCGCCTGACCGGCGTTCTCTGGCGGAAGCGGAAGCACTAAATCCTTAAGGTCCTTGATGCGAACCACGGTTTCCTCATACGAGGCCGGATCTGATGCGCTTGTAGCAGCATCCCCGCCACTTGCATCTGCTGCTTGAGTACCTTGTCCCTGCCCCACATTCATGGAAAGTGAGGGGCAGGCGGTATCATCATGCGGGCCACCACAGACTCGGCATGAAGGGGTATGACCCTCGTCACCGGATTTTGAGGATGTGTCGGAGCTTGCCTCCGATGGTGCGAGTGGGGAGGATGGGAATTGAGCCACTTGACTTGTACTGGCACTTGTTAGCCTAAGCGTGGGGACAGCCCTTGCAGAATGTAGGCGGCCAGCTTCCTCGAGATACTCGTTTTGTTCGAGTACCCTGGCAGGGCGGAGAAGGCGTCGGTGCTGGGTGAGGTACTCGTGGAGCTCGTCCAGCGCGTCGTAGAGCGCCCGGTTGGCGTCTCGCCGACCGACACCTGCGCCGAGGGCGCCTGCGGTGCGGCACTCCTTGAGGACGGAGTTGTTGTCGTCCACGATGGCGCACGCCCCGAGCTGCGCTAAAGCTGCTGGTCCGACCCGTTTCCAGGTCAAGACCACGTCTCCGAACGGGAGTGTGCCCAAGCCGTCAATGGCGTCGTTGCACACCTCGGAAAACTGGGTGGCGAGCCGGAGGGCGCTGTCCCGGGTATCCCGGGCCTGGCAGTAGCTGACGATGCGGAACTGGATGGGGTAGTGGCTGCGATACAGTTTGGACACTGTTCGCAAAAGCCACTCCTTGGGCGCACCGTCAGGCTCAACGGAGATGTCGAGGGTGTTGTGCCAGTCGAGGGCGATGACCAACGGGTCTCTGGCCTCTTGCTGAGGCGCACCGAATTGCGTCCCGTCGGGGACGGGGCCCTTGGCAGCTGCAGTGGGTGGCTGCTTGACCGGCAACTTGGGAGCCGGTGGCGACTTGTACCTCACCTGTGGTGGCGGTGAGGGTGGCGCCCGCTTGTATGCTTTGGGCGGTGTCTCAGGCCGCTTGACCCCGCTTATCGATCTTGGGACCGACGCTGCGCGTTGAGCTGCAGCGGTGGTGGGGGTATGGCCTTCGACGCAGCGCGATCCGCAGCTGCCTGGTCGAGCACGCTTTGTGGGGGGTGCCTTGACCTGGCTTTCCCGCTTGGCAAAAACTATCCGAGCGGTCTTTGTTGCGGGTGCTGTGGATGAGTCGCGCCCGGCAGGTGCAGGCCGCTTGATGCTTACCTGCTCAGCTTCGTACACCCTGTCCGGGTTGAAGGCCGCAAGACCTGAGTACACGGCGCGTGCCGACCTTTCTGGAGGTGGTGATGTACTCAGGCTGTAGTGCTCGGCCCTCCCGTGTCCTCGGTGGGGTTCAGATGAGGACTCCGCCCTTGGTGGACGATGCCAGTAGGAGTCTGGCAGGTCGCACGGGTCGTCTGAGGGCGGTGGATGCGGCGCCCGACGCGTGGGTCTTGTGGCGCCCTCGTACCGGTGCTGGAGGATCCAGATCCCTGTGCTGTCCACCCGGGTTGTGGGGTAGGCGCAGTTGGCCGGCGCAAGGCCGGCTGCTCAGGGATGCACGGGCAGGTGGTGAGGAAGAGCTGGACCCGCTGCGCTTGGAGCTGCAGCCCTGAGGGGAGTTCTGGATCTCGGGCGTCGGGTTGACGCCTTCCGTGCCGGTGCAAGGGAAGGCTGATGCCTTGCCGGCGGTGTCCTCTTCGATGAGGACCTCCCTGCAGCAGTGCACCTTCCCCTGCTCACGTTTGCAGGCGGATAGGAGGAGGGTCGGGACGGGCTTTCAGTTGAAGCTTTGGGTGGAGCCGCTGCGCTTGGAGCTGCAGCCTGATCTCCCGGCCCGGATGCTGCCTGTGTCTGCGCTGCGCTTGGAGCTGCAGCCTTGATGGTGGACACAGTTGTGGTGGAGGATGGACTTGATGGGGTGCTTGGTTGTTGTTGTGGCTGAGCTGGTGTTGAAGCCTGCCCTGCCGCGCCTTGAGCTGCGGCCTGTGCCCGTTGTAGAATTGGGATTGGTCGGTGTCGGCCTCGGGCAATGACGGCGTCGTAGAGGTCGGGATAGATGTCCCGCAAGTGGCGGTAGCTCTGGTCCGTGAAATCGGCCTGCCACGCCAGGAGGGAGCTCCGATGCAAGTCCGAAGCTTCCTCCCAGGGAACTCTTACTACCCCAACCTGAAACTCACGCTGTGCCCAACGGGTGAGCTCGTCGAAAGCTTCGTGGAAAGCTTCGTAGTAAAGCTTTCGACGATAAACCCACCCGCCCCTGTGTCCTCTGGCCGAGAAGGCCGGAGCCGGGTCCATGCACGAAGTGCGCTGACTACCGGACTGAGGGGGCCTAATCCCAAAAAGCAGTTACGGCTAATAACCACTCAACAGGGAAAGAAACACAGCGAACCAGAAACCGGGACCCTTATTAACCCCAGTCCGGTAGGCGAGCGCAAACCCTGGCTTTGATCTGGGCATCTTGAGCCAAATGGGCATTGCCATTTGACAAATCCATGCAAAGCAAAGGGGCCTCCAACATCACATACATGCACACCCTTCTGGGGTACCTCTTTGGGGGTCAAGGGGTCGTGATTATTCAACTTTAGTGCACCCTAAACGTGAAACTCGTTTTGCAAGAGATGCCATAATGTAGGATGCCAGATTGGCCAACCTTAGGCCTTAAGATGATGAAGAAACCCAGCAAAACAATCATACCGCGACCCCTTTCCGACCCCAAGAAGCTTTCGGAAATACCAACCCGGCCCGCAAAGGAATCCCAAACCCAACCCTTACCCGAAGAAGCTTTAAGGAGCCCCCTCCGCCCCCCAAGGCCTCGTTCACCGTCTTGTAGAGGCCTTTCATGCTCTCCACCACCATGGACTTCTGCTTCTTCAGCACGTCCATGTTCCGGTGCAAGGCCGTCACCACAGTGTCCACCTGCAAAAAAAGGGATTTGGGTGCCTCTTTTTTCAGGGTGCCCTTTTCACCTGGGTCTAACAGGAAAGTAAAATAACAGCCACGATTTTCGGGGAATTCATTTCCTGACACATACCCAGTTCGTACTGGACAAAGCCCTGCGATCCACCTGGTGCGAAGCTAGATTTTGTCCTGGCTTCCTGAAAGGCAAGGCTGGAAGTTGCGTGCTGGTTTGACAGGCAGGGAATGAGTTGGAATGACCCTGAAGGGAATCCGCCCCGTACAGTTTCTCATCCTGGGGAAACGGCGGGGGCTGAGGGGACGGGGGGGAGTTGTGTCGTTGAGGCAAGTCAAAGAAGCTAAGTTGGGTGAGCTATATGAATATGGGTGGCACTTTTCTGCGTACTATTTTCAGGTTGGTTTAAAGGGAAACCAAAAGGAAGCCCAAAATCCATATTTGGGGCATACAAAAGACGCACTCCTGTTAGGTTGATCAGCTGAAATAGGGAGAAACGCCCTTCAGAAAGAAGCCTTCATCGGGCCGAGATTGCAATCCCCTGATAGGTGAGGTCGCTACCCCCGGTAGGTGGGGTTGCGATGACAAGTGATTCCTATGTTCACCACATGTCCTGTCACGTGCGTTTCAACTGAGCATGTGTGCCATGGTCAAGACCCCCTTATGGGTCATGGTCATGGCCTCTCTAAAAACAACCTCTACATGGGTGGTGTAAAATCCGCATTGAGAGATTGATGTTATCCCTACCAACCCAAGTGAAGGAGTGATTCAACAAGCTGGAAGCCCGAAGGCATCTCAGTCTTCGTGGGGTTGTGTTGAGACCCCAAAGGCCACTCAATTTCATTGCTCAATCAGGGTCAAACGAGGCACAACACACGAATTACCATGATTCATCCACGCCAAAAAGGGCTTAGGAACTTTCATAAGCCCATCTGTTGCGAACCTGAAGGGCAAGGTCGCTCAAATTTGTCCCACAGGCAAATAGAGAAAGGGGGTCCTCAAAATAGGGGTCCATTTCCTGAATGGCAACGGCTTCCTTTGGGCGTCCCTTTAAGTAGCCGAAAGGTGTTCCAAATCCCATTTTGAGAAACTCCCTTAGAGTCTTGGGGCCCGGTTGTGCTCGGAATTTTGAGACACAGATCTGTCTGCCATTTGCCATGTGCTGTCGGGTCGAGTCCAAAAAGCTCGGGAGATTCCCAAGCCTCTCGGGTTCCCACTCCACCGGATTTTTTAAACAGACCAGGAGACCACCAAAAACCGAGAGGCTTCTGGCACCAAGTGGACCTGGCACATCAGCAGGGTGGCGGCCAAGCTTCTCTTTTTCCAGATGGTTTGAATCTTGTAGCGGAACCTGCCCGGAGCATTCCGGGACCATCCAAAAACCCGCCCCCGACGCAGGATCAACCAAGGCCCGATAGCTGTCGCCATTGAAGAACAAGAGAAACAACTTTGTAACCGAGTGACCCTAAATACATGCAAGTTCTAACACATCGGTTCCTTTCGGGTGCGAAAAACGCAATTTGTATCCTCAAGCTAAAGCCCGTTCTCAGAACTGGAACACAGGTCCCCAGCTTCAAGGCTTTTGAGTTGAACTTTGGCTGGAGAGCTTTCTCGCCTTTTCACACGCGGTGAGCAAAAACCGTTCCCTTTCGCCGCGGTTTTCTGTTTTTTGTTATTTTTTTCTCCCGAAGCTTTCGACCGCAGGCCTCTCGGCTCTTGGACACAAAGCTCTGGCGACTGAACTCGTCCGTCCCCGGAAGAGGGCGCTCCCCTATATTTCCGCACACATGATCCCTACCAAGGGAAACTCACCTTAAGTTGGCCAACAAGGTGATGTGTAAAACTACTAGGGGTTGTTTCCCCATTATTTTTAACCATCGCTCTTTTCGGAAACCAGATCCGTTTTCCCCGACTTTCTGGATTTTCTAGAAGGATCCCTGGAAAGAATGGGGGAGGTACCCCTAGACAAATGTACAACCTTACATCACCCGAAAGGACGCTCAAGTTAAGTCGGCCCCATCTGTAAAACAAAAAAAAGAAAACAAAGCAAGAAATATAGGGAACCTTGTTGAGCATGTTCAGGCTTGTAGGTGTGCCCCCCCAAAGATGCATTTTGGAGGGTGCAAATCCCTATTCTCATGCATTTCCTCTCTCCTTTTTTGGTTTTTGGGGGTGGCAGAGATGCCCTTTTCTCCAGTTTTGCTTACATTGCAAATCCTATAGGGGACCATCCAAATACCCCAGTCGTATAGTCCGTTGCTCGCGCGTTCCTTTTGGTGGACATCATTTACATCCGGATTTGCGTACCCGTCAATCTATGTTTGAAGCCAACTACTGCAATTTATGGCCATATGAGCCCTCCCCCCCCCCCGTCAAGTTCCTCGAAAAGCGACCTCGTCAAGTCCTAAAGGGCGCCCTCAAAAAAAACAAGCCCAACAGGAGTAAAGGGCAGCTTTTGCGCCAAGCAAACCATGATCTTTGGCCTCCTTTCGGCGTACCTTTGAGGGTGGATTTCAACATATATGTGACATAATCGCTATTAAAGGGTTGATCATTTGACCATGGCACACGTTAGATTTGTCTCATCCTTGGTTCTGCCTGTTGGCTTCCCAAAAACCGACCGTTGCTCCAAGAAAAGGGCTACCCGCAACAAAGTTACTCCTGAGGTGAGCAGCGCGCAAAGTTCGCCCCCAACTTTCCTTGTTCTTTGCAGCCACCAAGAAAGAACCAAAAGACCAAGCCTAAAAAACCACTGAAAAGGAAAATGGGACGAAAAGAAAAAAAGAAAAAAAAAGAAAAACAAACACACGCCAAGAACAGCGAAGCCAACCCCAAAAAAAGCGCTGTCACGCGCGCATCGTTCGCGCCTGAAGCTGCTTGGCGCATTGCTCCCTTTCCGCCGCCAGTTCCTCCTCCCTCTCCTCGCGCTCGCGGAGAAAAGTTCCAACAACACGGCGGGTTCCCTGTAGTGAGTAACAACTCTGCTCCCGCGAGGAGAGGCCAAAAAATATATGTTTTAAACTGTTTGTTGAGTGGGGAGGTCCCTCAGTATCACAGAGTTTGATCCTAAACCTATGCAACCCGCCCAGTGACCACGGCTCCCTCAAGAAGAATGCCAGAAGAAAGCCCAACAGTTGTGTTGGGTGATTTTTTTGGAAAACCCTAGCTCACTAGGAACTCACCAGGATTTTCACACTGTTTTGAGGGATTGGCTTACCCCAGTACAGGATTCCCTTGGGCTTTTGGTTCCCTATAGTTCCCTATCCGTTTCCATTCTGGTCAGGGTCTCTGCAATTCACAATGGAAAACAACCCTGCAGGCATGCACGCGTCTGCACTTCCCGGACGCCATCAACCACCAGCACCCTTCAACGACTATGTATGGACAGCACGTGGGGGGTTTTGGACATGGAAAAAGCAGTCGTTGAGCCGGCAGGCGGTTTATTGGCTCACTTTCTGAGTGGCTCGGAAGTCCTTGGACTTTGCAACTTGCAGCTAAAACGGTCTTCCCACAAAGTAAGTCTTGTGAAAAACTATTTTAGTGAACCTCCAGATGTATTAAAAAAGCATCAATGTGTCACGTATCGTTCCTACTGCAAGGCTGCAACGCACCCCCTGTTCCTTTTTCCTCCCTCATCGTTCATAGTCTGTGCTGCTCGTGCCTGTCACAACCCTCATCATTTGAGGGATAATGCTTTGGATTTCCATGCATCTCCTGCATGGACTGTGCTTAGAGGGGGCCACCGGTCAACTCCGGTTGGGATGCCTCTAACATCCTTAAAAGTTCCCCTCCCCTCGAGCGCCTTTGCGCAAACCCCAGTCCCAGCGGGACCTTCAAAGTTGTCGGTCACTGGACGCCAGGCCAGACAACTAGGGTGGGTTGGGTGGGGAAACCAAAAAGGTGTCTGCCAGTTTGGCTCAGTCTTGAGCCAAAATGGCAGACCCATAACAATTGATGATACATGTTCACCCAATGCCTGCCAAGCTCTAAACATGGCATACATCAATGTGTCACGTATCGTTCCTACTGCGCACCCCCTGTTCCTTTTTCCTCCCTCATCGTTCATAGTCTGCACTGCTCGTGCCTGTCACAACCCTCATCACCTGAGGGATAATGCTTTGGATTTCCATGCATCTCCTGCATGGACTGTGCTTAGAGGGGGCCACCGGTCAACTCCGGTTGGGATGCCTCTAACATCCTTAAAAGTTCCCCAATGCACTTCAACTCCCAAAGCACTACAGAAAGCTCGTCACCGCGAGCACGGCACGAAATGGCAGCTTCCATATGATGGGGAAACAGAAAGCAGTAGACATTGAGAAATCATTCTGGCGGGCCCATGGGTCCTGCCAGCCCAAACGGGAGATCGCATCTGCCCAATTGGACTTGGAAGGGATCCACTCCCAGTACATCCAAACCTTCAGCCCGTAAAAAAAGGTGTGGATCACGTGGGACATTCGTTCCAGGTCAGGCTCTCTGGACCTACCACGGATCAGCTGTGGTGTTGTCGATGTACCACATCCCCGATTACGGAATGTTTCCGGTCGGCAGAGGAGGGCGTACAACACCATGGACAGTTCCAATTGAGCAATCTTCCGGTCCCCGGAGTCCACAGCTCGTGAAGCTCAAGTGGGATGTCCGCCACAAAGGCTTCCCGTCGCTCGGTGAAGCCGTTGGCCCACACCATCAGGAAACCTCCCGTTTTGTGACGTGGGCTCTCCAGAGCTGCATGAGAAGCAATCACGAAACGCTCAAACGGTGCCGGCAAAACTTGCAACACCCGACGTGGTTGGGTAGCAAACACAGCTTCCAACAACTCGAGGCTTGCCTTGATAGGCTCAGTCAACTCAGATGATCTCTCGGCCTGCCTCATCTTGATGGAGCCAAGTCCCCCGCATCCCACGCGGCCATAGACGCCCATCTCCAAGAAGTTTGCCAAGCCGTAGATCTTGGCCGCAAGCCCAGGTGCCAACTTCTCCTCCTTCCTGACCTTCTGGATCATCCCGGACATCTTCTCGTGGCTCTCGGGCCCAGAACAAAACCACACCGCCAGGTATGGCGTTGGATAAGTCATGGTCAAGCCCCAGGAACAAGCCTTGGGTGGCCATGGGTTGCTTCTTGTCCTCGGAGAAGGGTGTACCCAGCAGCCGGTTCAACTCCTCCAGCGCCCACTGGCCGGAACCACCGGCTGAACGCCAATCCGTGATGTGGGCATCATCGAAGTAAAACGATACCAGAAGGACGAGAAGGCGCCTGGCGAGACTGAGAGCCTCCGCCAGCCGGGAGTACCGGTTGAAGCTGGTCACGGCCAACGGCAGACCAAAGAGCAATCCAGCGTAGCGCTGGAATGCCGGCGCTCCCCAGCCTTCATGCCAAAAGCAAACGATGCATCCTCTTGCCTCCTCGCTGCTCATAGGGGAGTGGCGGTAGGCATCTGGCCAATCTTCTCCTCCCGACTCCCACGAGTCACCCTCGCAGGCCGATCGGAGCTGGCACTCGTCCATACGCTGCATCACCCCTGTGTCCGCGTTGTCAATCACTCTCTGCTTGCCTGAGGACTGTGTGATGACACACCTGGGTATGAGTCGGAACTCCTGACCTTGGAGCTCACGCTGCGGCTCGGATAGGGACAGCGGGGGAGTGCAGAAACCTCGATCCGCATCCTTCTGCGACTGCTCCAGCAAGAAGGTATCATCCTTACCCGGGCGCAGGCTGGCGAGCACGATGCGGTTGTTCTCCCCCGCCCTCCAGGACCTCCTCAAAGGTGATCCTGCGGGCGGCCTGCTGTGGGAAGACACCGTAATGGGGGGCGAAGCCGACTGGCAGGCCCACCACCAGTCCGTGAGGGTACGAGACGTCGGGCCACGCCAGCAGGACCACCAGTAGCCCCAGCAAGCCAATATTCCTCTGCGCTGCCGCCTGGAGAGCTGGCGCCTGCAATTGCCTCAACTGCTCACCTACTTGTTTCCATCTCTGCTTCAACTCCTTGACAGCTCCAATTGCCCCACGACGTAGCTGGGGCAGGTCCCCCCCTGCGTCTTCATCCATCACTGCTTCCTGCTCCAACGGAGTCGGTGTCGTTTTCATGGTCAGGGCCGTAGCGAAGTGGTCATCCGGGGTAGGCAGACCAGAGATCAGGGGGCTTCTTGTCACTCAGACCACCTGCCTGCTGAACGCAGGAGGCAGTGGTGAACTGCTTCCTGCACCTTTTCCCTGCGCCCTGGTTCAAGGGCTGTGGAATGGCGGCATGAGCAGCAGTTGGATTGGGATGGCCCCCTGGGCCCCACCACGGCCCCTCCGAGGGGCATACGAACGCGCACAGCTGAGGGTCAACTCCAAGGCACCCTCGCATCCACTCCCGGTAGACCTCCCCATGCCAAAAGGACCCCTGGCCTTGGCACTCGACGGCGTTCGTTGCACCGGCTGTGCAGCAGATTGTTGCACACATGGAGAGTCCCATCCTCATAGAGCACTTCGAGAATCACCACTCGCCGCGGCACGGTGGCTCCCAAAATCAATGGGGGCGGCTTCAATCCCAGGCTTACTGCCATAGGTGCCATTGCCCACTCCCGAAGGGCCTGCCCATCGAACTCCAGCCAGTGCTCCCGGCGACCCACATCCGTGGGACCGCGAGGCGCGCCTTTCCGACCCGAGCCGCCCACCACGAAGCCGCCACTGCGATGCCAAACGCCAGGGCAGCGGTGTACTCCGCCTCGGCCTTGGATGGGTACCACCTACCTTCGGTGCTCTCCTGTGGTTCCCACTCTCGAGGATGATGAGTATGATGGCACGTCAAAGGCGGCCAATCTTCGATCTCCTGAACGTTGTGTCTGAGGCACTGGCCAACCCCCGGCAAACACACAGGCCGAATACTGCGTGTCCTTCCACAGCCCGGACTCCATCATCGACTGCTCCTGGGTGGAGGTAGCAGTGCAAGCTCCTCCATGGGTTCTCCCGAACAAACAGAGGCCCCCCCTCCTTTGGCGTGCTGCTAAAGCTGTGTGAGCATCCATCCGCATGCCACGTTGTCCGTGTCAACCCAAGCCTGATCCCTGGCTGATAGCCCCGGCAGCCCCATTGGCTGATCTGCCGACCTGAGGGGCTGGGGCGCTGGTCGTCCATCGTTGAACTTCCACGTTGGCTTGGTGGAGCAATCGCAATGAAATCGACCTCCTTGAGCTGGTCTGCCAAGGATTTCTGCCTCAGGGGGTTGGACAGGTCGTGGGCAGGGTCAAGAAGCCAGTCCACTGAAATGGTGCGCCATCCACACCACGAAGGCTTTAGTCAGAGGGAGGTTCGGACCACACATGAGATCGGCCATCAACGGTGGTTCCACCAGGCAGTGCTACCGCAGCGGACCCAGAGGATGCAGCCGCCACATCATCCTCCGGGCCCCATCAGGAGCCCTTCGAAACGCCATGGTTGCTACCCCCACAAACGCGCTCCTGGTCACCAGGCCGCAGCGGTGGGCCCTGCTGACACTTGGTCGCCTTGCAGTGGCCATGCTGGAAGGCTTGGCACAGAGCGACTCCATCCTTCAGCACCTTCGCCACCGCCCGACCTCCAATCGGCTTGCCCAGCTGGAAGAGGGATGTACTCGCCGTGTGGCTTTTTTTTCCCCAGGTGTTGTGGTTGGCACGCTCCCCTCGCCGGCACGCACCACCCAGTGCGGGTCCCGGGCCTCGAACCAGGATGACCTTGCCTGTTTTGGTGCTGTCGCGGAACTTGGTCACCCACTCGGTCCGCTCCGCCAGGTCCTGAGTCTGTAGCCATCTTCTGATGCGGGACCGACTGGAGCACACGCTTCGCCCGGCGTCGAGCGGGACCTGGACAAAGCACGTGCTGTCAGCCCCCAGGACGGCCTCTCTGGCCGCCTCCGGCGCGCCCGA